GGGGGAAATTCACAATTTGCAACCCTATAATTAATTTGAATTTTATAATGTAATTTATTAAGAGGAGAGGGGATACAACAAATTACTTTTCTAATTCATTAGTGGTTTGAAATGTTGAATTAATTTGATTGATATTGAATAATGTGTTGTGTATAACCTTGTGTCACACAATGGACAAAATGATTTTCATTTACTCATCTCTCGTCACTACACAATGAAACTTTCTTTTCATAAAGTGTACTGAAAATCATGTTTGCTGTTATCTTTGTTTGTGGAAATTTCCTTCTTAGTTTTAGTTGTTAACTTGGGCAAGTTTCCTAAAATCACCTCTGAAAAAATTTACAGCACACCCAATGCTAGTTTTGTGCATAGATATTAAGCTTGGAAGGTGAACCATCATCAACTACCTGAAATTATAGAGTAAGCAAGACTAAGAATCGTTCAATACCAATACGATTCCCCAAATTTTGTTTTAGAGGTATACTAGCAGAACCTGGCAGACTCGCTCCTCTCTCTGTCTCCCCTTCCCTCTCCCTCCCCCCAGCAAAAATAAAAAATGTTCAAAAATATCTCATCCTGTAGATTACTGTATGAGAAACTTTTCTTTGAGGCTGTTGACCTCAAAATTTTAGTTTTTAATGCTCTAGAATGCTTAGTTTAGAAGTTATTTAACAATATAGATTCAAATAATCCTGCTGAGTGTGTTGTGGGTTGCATTTGTCATGACTTTTGTTTTGTTCTACACCACCATCTAATGAATTTTTTCGATTTTTTAATAGTTCTGCTATTCAGGGTGTAGATGAAAACAACAAATCAGAGATAATTAAAATTGGGCCAGCCATTCGCGAGTTATAAATGCTGTATCTAACCCAACTTTGTTTTTTATATATAGATTTTAATGATCAAGTTTAACGTGTGAGGTATATTTTAATAACCAATAGTAAATCTGGTTGGTTACAATATAGAATCCACTCTCAAAATCAATTTCTTACCCTTTAGAATGTTAATATTTGAAACATTTTTTGTTACACAACATTTTGTAATTACTATAAAATAAAATCTGGTTGATTTGAATACAGAATAGCAAATTAGTGTTGCACACTCAAAATCAATTTCCATTTTTTTCATTTGATCTAAATGTGTGATGTCACAAGAAAAGTAATGAGGACAAGCTTGAGAATTAGATTACATTTCATTTGGACATACACAAACCAGACATTTCCAGTGTTCAATGTCAAACAGAAGTAGAGAAGTCATCAAAGGTTGATATTTATTTTGTGATAGTACAAGGGAAAAAGACCAATGATGTTTGATAATGATATGTTCCCAAGTTTTTATAGAACTCATAAGAAGAATTTATGAAGAGAATACTATTCAATGAAAAATAACAAACTTTTCATTTCAATTGCTGGAAATGTATTTTGTAACTCAGGCGGAAAGCTTATTTAATATGAAAGAAAATTCTAAATATCCCAGTTCAAACTAGTATTTGCACGTATTTTACTTGCATTTATTTTATTACCAAACTGTATAACCAGTTTTGGGAGCCCCCTTATTAAGTATTCAGAGAAATATTCCCTTACATTTCCTGTTTCATTCTTGCTTCACATTCTCAACAGGAGGTACCTTTGAGGTGGTTTTTAGAAAAATTTGTCAATTGCAGAATTTCTTGGGGAAGTATTTTATGTAAACCTGAAATTATTAAAGACAGAATTTAGACTAACTTAATATAGCTAATTGTAGATTAAACAATTAATTTTGTTTGGTTTTATAATAATATACTGGTGGGGATATTAAACAAAAAATACCTGAGAAAACCATAATATTGAATACCGTTGTTTTTAGTAAAAAGTAACGGCTTCCCTGGAAATTTATGTGATATATTTCCAAAACTTTTAGCTAATTTCAGGCACCTTTACTATATAAATCATATCTACTATTATTATTTCTGCAAGAAATCCTAACTCTCATTCAAAAATGCAACCTCCCTGAATTCATAATCATATTTTTAGTTGATTAATAAATTTACTTACATTTTTTTCAAGTTTGAAGGAATGACTAATTTTATAGGAATTACAAATGAAAAACATTTACATCAACCAAAATTATCTGAAATAATGCAATTATAACAAAAGTACCTAATACTGCAATTAGATTTATAATGGCATAATAGCCCTCAACGTCAACGTTTGGAATGCTATCTGCATTGAACTTAATATCTAAACACACTCTATTTTTCAATCCACAATTTCTTTTGTTTTTCTCCAAGTAAATGCAGATCTGTCTTCTAAGGAACTGATAAACTTCACCTCACCAGTCAAATTCCTCATTTGCATCTATGTGAAACAGTAAGGACATTTTGTTTCTTGTTAAATTTTCTTTATGTAGATTTAGAATGAAATTTTTAGATTCAATCATGTTAATGGGTCTCCAAGAAATATAAAATTTAAATCTAATTAGCCAATTGAAGTTCATTTTATTAAAAAAATAATAATACTACTACTTTAATCTAAAATAAGAAACAAAATACTGCATGTGAATGTCAGTCAAAAGCAGAGTAAAACAAATTTACTTTTGTAAGAGGTCACTGGCATTCAAGAACTTTTTTTTTAATGCCCGAACTTCACTATTCTGACAGCTACTTATTGCTTTTGAAAAGATGATGTCCTACATTTTCACTCATTATTTAAATGACAGTGTATTTGAACATTTAATCCAGTACACATGAAATACAAGAGAACAGAAATGGGTCATTAAACAATACATTCACAAGATTTCTTTCAGAAATTCTTGAGCACTTAAATTTGAGTTTATATTTCATGGGAACACGCTCTTCTGCTTTAATTGTTTGTTCCCAGAATGGGATTAAGAGTTCTATGCTCATAAAATTTATTATTCTCTGAAAATACGGATAATCTTATTTATAATTAATGCAGAACATAGGAGTTCATTTTTTAAGTGCAAGAGTTCTTGTTTTCTTTTGTTGTGAAATCAAAACTCAAAGAGAAGGGAAAATTTTTTATAGATATAATAGAAGATAAGGCTTTATCTACACAAGTTTTCTTGATTCTCTCTATTTATCCGCACAAGTTGCCTGTTTTTCGCTAGATGCGAGGGGAAAATATTATTATTTTGTCGTTTATATTCAGTCACGCTCATTGCTACAGTTTATTCTGAATTCAAATAATAATTGCATAGGTGTGGGGGTACGTATTCTGGAACTCATGAAAACGTGCGCAGATAGAACCTGTACCTTCCTCTCCAAATGTCAATGTGTCCTTTTAAGTTTTATTACTTTCTTATTACAACTGGGTATGTTTGCGATGTAGGCGCCTTTAACACAGAAGAAAGCGACTTTTTCATACTCTTGTTCATTTAGTCACGTTAAAAATAAAATTCCATGTAATGAATCACGAACTTCAACATTTTCCGCGCAAAAGTGTTCACAAATGCCTCCGCAGTAGAAGTCTTTCTTCAGTCTGTCACGAGGTACATTTCGTCAAGCGCGGTTGCACTCATTTGGCGTGTGCGCATTAGGTCGCGTAGCGGGCGCAGGTAACTAAGTGCATCGCCAGCAGGAGCGCTGCGATCGGCGCGATGGTGGCCCCGCGGGGTTGCGCGCTCCGCGCGGGATCTTGGGGCGTGTGCGTGGGCGGCGCCTCGCGCACGGGGCCCACGAAAGGCTCCAGGTTGGTGCGATTGTAGTTCTGGAAGTACCAGTCCATGGAGGAGGAGTTAGCGTGCAGGTCCGAGGAGCGTGGGGCGGCCGAATCGTCGGCGGGGCCGCTGCGGAGCTCAGCTTGAGGTCCTGCCGCCTGCTGCTGTTGCTGCGTGGGAAGCACCACCTTGGTGATGGTGGGCTTGCCCGAAGGCGCGCGGAACTGCGGCTGCTGCCCACCGGGCACCAGCAGCGCGGACAGCGACGACGGCTCGGGGCGGCCGGACCCTGTGCCCGCGCCCGTGCTGCTCTGCGGGGCGATCAGCCCTAGCACGCCGCCCGCGGGCACGGGCGTGGTAGTGGTGACGGTAGTGGTGGCGGGGGCGGGCGGGTCGGTGGGCGGCGGCGCCGTGCGAGATGCCTCTGCGCGAAACAGCAGACAGGCGCACATTAGTCTCCCACATCGCCCACAGTTTAGCAACGTCCAAATGACTTCTGACGATTCTCTGAACTTAGGCGTACTTCTGTCACCATTAAGAACTTGAGTAGAAAGGTTTGATTCGGAAAATACTAATTTTAAAAGACGAAAGAAGTCTGTCTTCCCCATTGTTTCCATTTTGCAGGTGCCAGAAGCAGAAAGCTACGAAATATTAAAATTATCCCAGTAGTAAGAAAACAAACTAAATGCATCACAAATATGTTTTCTGTTAAATGTTAAATTGAAGTTCCAAGTTCTGCGCAAGAATTACATTAAATGAATGAAAACAAAATCTACTACGGCGAAGTAATTTTACAATTAAAATCGAAGATTATTGAATACTTGTACCGTTGGTCCGAATAACGGTCGATGTTAGAATATTTGCAAATCATGTTTTTTTCGTGGAATATGGCAGCACTATGTAGTCTTGGCAGCTTGAATGTTTATGTACAGATTACAATCAAACCAGGGGCGGCTCCTGAGAGAAATTTTGGGAGGGGTAATTCAAGATGTTTTGGTCGAATGTGTCGTATTACAGATATTGTAAAATGTCACATGCTACACTCACCTCATGTCGCGATACGATTTTATTCGTTTTAATGATTATCCGAAAATGTTTTTGCTTAAAATTTCGTGTCAAGTTAAACTTAATGGTTAATGAACAATTTTAGGCGGGGAACTTTCCCTCATTTCCCTCCCTGTGGATCCGCGCCAGGATCAAACAAAGAATATTCATGGAATACACGGTCTACGTTACCTGTTTACTTAGTAAAATCTACGAAGAAGTAACACGTAGGGTTTCTGCTTGTACTTTAAAATTCATAAACCAATACTCGGACCAATGCTTCACTTTTACCTTCCACCCGGGGTGCAAACACAGCCAGATAAAAGTACTATATACCTAGGAGCATAAACCCAACAAGCGACGTAGCGCGACAAGATCTCCAACATCCTGGTTTGTTGTTTTTTTCCCCCCATAGGAATTCACGCGAGCACGATGCACGGATGCTTAGAAAAATAAAATTCACAAGTGACATTTCCCGCCTCATCTCATCTACTCACTTTGTGTACGTCTTAAGCGTGTACATTCCAGATATAGATTGCCACAAAGAAGCCTCGTACGTCTTTTCGACAAAGCCGCTTCGGGTCCCGACGCGCCATGCCGATTTCTGACCCTGCCTTCGTAGTGCGTCCCTCTGTTGTACCTAATGTACACATCCCCGCTAATGTTGAATAAGACTGTTTGATTCAAAACGACTTTGGTAACACTCTTACATATTTTGCTGGTATACGAAAAGTTTTGTCTTGAGAAAGATATTTGTCCTAAATACTAGATTGAACAATTATTAATTTAAGGAGAAATATCAAAATAAAAAGTTTGTATATTTCCAAAATGAAAGATACAACTTTTACCACGATTTTCTACAAAACTTGTCACTTAACATTTTTTACAACCCCCTTTCACTAAGCAATCAGTATCGCTTTGCTATTCGCTTACGATGAGATGTTTATGTCTTCCAACAGCGCCGTCCTGTTTGAAAGGTCACGTGGGCTCGACCGCGTGCGGCCGCCCCCTGCGGCGTTGCTTGGCGCGCGCAGAAGGTGCGTGATGGTGCTCTGGTGCTTCGGTGGGGTCTTTGTGAGCATAGCGTGCAGCAGGCGATGGGTGCTCTTCGGACTCCACGCGCGTCGGGCGCTCGCGAGGTGCTTCTACCGTTCGCCGCTGGTGCTCGGGGTGGTTCGGGTCGGTGCGTTGCGGACGGGTGGTGCGCGTGGGCTGATCGCGCTGTGCGTCTTTTTGGATAACGCGTGCAGGAGGTGGCTCATGCTGTGTTTGCTTGATCTGGGATCGGTCTTGTGCGAGCGCGGGCTGGTGGGGGCTGGTTCGGTACTCGGGGTGGTTGGGGCGCGTGGCCTGCGGGCGGCGCCGACGGGTGCTGTTGGCGTGGGCGGGGTGGTTCTTGACGGGGCCGCGCGCGGGCGGCGGGGGCTGGTCGTGCAGGGCAGCGCTCTCCGGCCGCGGAGGGCGCGCCTTGGCGGGCAGGGTGGACTCGGCGGGATGCTGGTCCGCGTGGAATGGATTGTTGCCGGGGCGTGCGGCGCGGGAGTGGGCGCGTCGGGCCAGCAGGCTCGCCGTGGGGGCGGGCGGCGTCTAGCGGCCGTCGCGTGCCTGGCGAGCGGGTGGGGCGTAGGCGTGCGGTTGCTCCGCGCGAGCAAGGTGCTCGTGCTCTGAGGCGGCAGCGTGCTTGGTGCGGTGCCGGTGCGACGAGGTGCCAGTTTGGTGCGGCGGTGCGGGGCGCCGGCGCCGGTGGCCCTTGCCGCTTGCGTGGGCGTGCGTTTTTACCTGGGGATGTGAGGCCGGGCCTCGCCAGTGGAAGCCCCAGCGGGGGCGTGGTGTGTAGGGCGGGCGCGGTGCTGGCTCGCCTCCAGTTTCCGTGACCCCGCCGCCGCGGCCGCCGGCGCTGCCGCCTCCGCCGCCGCCATGCCGCCCGGCGGGCGTGGGCGCGCGCTGGCGGGCGGGGGCAAGCTCGTTGTGGTCTGATGGGCGGCGGCGGCGGCGGGAGGGGCGGCGGGAGCGGGGGCGGGCGCGGGGAGGAGCCGTATGCAGCGCCCAGCGGGTCCAGGAAGTTTGGCGTGCTGCGCGCTGCGGGGTGTCGGACGGGCGGCTGGAGACTGTGCGCGGGAAGGCGGTGCCGGCGGCGCGGACGCAGTTCGGGCAGCGGGGCCAAGCTGGCGCGGTGGGGGCGGAGCGGGGCGGGTCCGGGCCCGCGCTCCACCGCCGTCGTCAACTCGTCAAAGCTGGTGACGTTGGCCGACTCAGCGAGCTGCACGGTGCGGTTGTGGCCCGGCCGCTCCCATGCCGCGTACGACACGTTCACGTGCTGCTGCGCGTTGAGCTGCGAGCCCCGTTGCGACTGCGAAGAGAGCGCCGGGTTGGCGATGGGAATGAAACCGCCCGACTCGGGCAGCATCGGGACGAAGCCGCCCGTCAGCTCGGGAGCCGGTGGCGGCGGACGGTGCCCCGTGGGAGCGAGGGCGGGGGTGGAGCCGGGAGCGGGGCTCGGCGCGGCGGGCGGCGGTGGCAGCATCTCCACCTTGCCGCGGTTCCCCACGAACGACACCTGCGATGAGGTGTCGTTAGAGCGCAGCTCGTGCGCTCTTTGCTCGCTACTCGTACGTGCTTAAGGGTGCAAGTGAAATTGTCTCGTAATGCAATCAGTGCAATAAAGTGAGGGAACAACGCGAATAATGTTGGATTACGATGGAAACATATTTTACAAATATTTTATACATTTTTTTAAAAGCAGAGACTTAAAAAAGGAGGCACTTTTTTCATCACTTAAGTTGAAAGTACGTCTAAACGCTTAAATGTCCACAAGTTGAAATATACGAATGAAAATTAAGAAAAATCATGATTTATTAATTTACATTTACTCAAGATAAAAATGAGATCATTAATAAATGAACAGAAAGAAAATTAAAAAATATTTCATATCTTATTCATGTTTTATTTAAAATTTAGTTTAAATGATACCAAGTATTTCTAAGTAAAACTGACTTTCTAGAAAAAGTTATGAAGATGGATTCATAAGTGCATATTCAAAGGGATGAGTGTGTTAAGAATGAATGAACTCTTTTTCACTTTCCCGTGTATTCCCGATTGCAAGGTTTCAATGCTGCCACCACCTAAACATACAATAGGAAAATGGAAATTATGTACATCGTGCATTAGAAATTATTCAGTGTTGTGAATTTTAACAACCTTTAGTTTTAGTATAAGGGTGCGATGCTTCAATAAGTAGAAATGTATAACTGATTCATGCAACCAAAACATGCTAGCTTCATAATTTTTTTGAACCAATGATTCTTAAGAATGCCACATTTGCAACAATCTTCAATTTTAATAGGCAGTTTATAAAAAATAAAACTTTTCATTATAGGTCAAGTCAAAGAGACAATTATTTTTTCACATCTACTTGTTCGTAAAATTATGGTACTTGCTACAATTATTGAGGCAAAATACGGAAAAGAAAATAGAAATAAGAATTAAAGGAAGTAAGAAAACATTCAAACGGTTACACTTAAATGAAAATGAAATTGTGTTCAAACTACTGATAATTGAATTTCAAAATTCAATATGTGCTGTAGAAATATTCGTAAGAATATAAAAAAAAAATTACAGATTGTATGCAGAACAGGGCCATTGCTTAAAGTGTGTATTTCGATATTTTAACGTGGCGCATGTCGTAAAGCAGCCGTTACAATGTTATCCAATCGGGAGCGTGAACGCCATCACCGAGACGTCACTGTGGTGTCGTTTAAGCTCCCCATTGGATGACACCGTCAACAGCTGATTTACGTCATGCGCTGCGTTACAAAAAAACAAAGTATAATTCATGTGATATTTACTTGAAGTCCATAAATCTGCATCCACAAAACTAAAAGCAACTGTCCGAACTTAATCAATAAAATAAGGCTTATATCATTCCCATGCTTAAAGTACGAACATCGTCTGGTTCACCAATCATCAGTATTTATTGAAAGGAATTTAGATTATGAAGACAAAAAGAAACGAAATGCACTGCTTCCCTCGCGTGATCAAGTATGAAAGAAGAAAAGTATGAAATTCCGTCCTTACAACACGCACTGGAGTACTAGTGCTGGTTTATAATACATATTGCCATGATTCCTTTCTATTAAATTATTAAATTTTTCAATACGTCTCTCAAATTTTCTACGTAATTCTCATCTGTCATTTTTGTGCAAATATATGTGTAATTATTCTTTTGTACGCTATATATTACAGGAAAACATCAACGGGGTAGATGAAGCAAATCATTCTTTTAAAAGTGTACGATGAAAGGAAAAGGTTGTGTATCCCGAGTGCTAGTTGTGCGGGGGCGGGGCCGGGGGCGGGGTGTGACTGACCTCGCCGTGCCGGCTGGTGGCCGCATCCGACTTGCGAGCGGACCCCCAGAGGCCGCCCAGGCTGAGGCTGGGCAGCGGGAAGCCAAAGAAGGTGATGCCGCTGGCTGGGGGCGGTGCCTGCTGGCCCGGCTGCGGAGGCACCAGCACTGTCTTGTTCGCCTGCGGCAGCACATCGCAAATTACGCCTTCTCCCCATTTCCCACCATCTGTCTCCCCCCCTCTTGTGGGCTTAAAAAAATATGCGTTTTGTGTTTGAAGGGTGAACTCCACAAAGAAAAGGCAAAAAAAGCATTAAATATTTTGTCGTTCAGGGCGAGCTCAAAATGCGTATTTAGGAAACGTGACATTTCTCACTGATGGACAATTTTTATGCACAGGTGTAGGCAGGTCACGTTCTGGGGCAGTCAAAGAGGTTTCATGGATCTGCCGAACTTCTTTTCACATTGGGTTGTCTAACACTAAAGGGCATACATCACCAGTCATAAGAAATTTCCAACTACGTTCATTGGCAAAACCATTCTGTTTAAACACCTCTGTACGTCCTAGAAACTTGAACATTTATTTCGAGGCACCCCGTTCTCACATACATTCCCGAACAGCGTGCTTTCCGTTACTCACCTGGTTGTTGCCGCTCCCTCGCGTGCTGCCGGCGTAGAGAGTGGGCGTGTCCCCGGGCACCAGGTGCGGCGACAGAGTGCTGCTTGCGTGGTGCTGGTGGTGGTGATGGTGCGGGGGCGGCGCCGCCGTCACCACCGCCACTAGCGCCGGCACGTCGCCTCCGCCCGCTGCCGCCGCCGCCTCTGCTGGCGCCGTCGCGTTCTCGTCGTACTGGTACTCAACGTACTCGTCGTAGAAGTACTCGGACTCCTCGGGGCTGGGCGGACTGGGCGCGGCGGAGGGCGCTGGGGTGCTGTCTCGCACTTCCATCCACGTCGATAGCACTTGCGAGGTGCCCAACACTGTCAACCAACGGATGAGATTGATTGATTGATATTTCCGGACACATGAATTGCTACTGAGAGCGTAGTCTTCCGCAGCTGGAGTCAATAACTACTTTCTAGCCCGAGAGGCGCTGCGTTCTTGATATAGTTGTCAGTTTAGGCCACCATTCTGTGACCTTCCTCATGGCGAAATGACGTAGATTGCAGAATGGCGACCGAAACGTTGGGACCTGGGCTTAGGTCGCGGAGTCTAATTTTTTATTTTATTTTACGGCAAACACAATTTAAAACTGTGTGTGACGTGCTACGGGAAGAAGTGCATTCCATGCACGTATCTAAATTCTGAGATCCCTACCCTAAACCATATACAAGTTGGATTCTGAACACAGAAATAAATGAGCGTTTTGGCAAGAATTGTTACCACAATAAAATATATTTTCAAAGGTGAAATAGATTTGGGTTCTTAACTTTCATTATGTCCTTCGTGAAGGAATATACTTTTGCCACGACAACATGGAGAGCGATAATTTGAATAACTATATTTCCCATTGCAGCCTAGACAACGCAGTCTCCCGGAGCGCCGAGTCGCCGCGCAGGCGTGCTCACCGGCGGAGTGGGCGTGTCCGTCGGGCGCGTCGGGGCAGCCGGGCGCCGGGGGCGGGTCGCGGCGGCCGCCGGGGCACGCGTCGTCGCCCTCGGCCAGCGCGCGCTCGCGCAGCAGCTGCCCGTCGGCGCAGCGCGGCCCGGGCTCCCCGGGCGGCAGCCAGTCGCGCAGCCAGCGCACGCCGCACGCGCACGCCAGCGGGTTGCCCTCCACGCGCAGCTGCGCCGTCGCCGCCCCGGACCCCGCGCGCAGCCGGCGGAACGCGCGCTCGCGCAGCGCCGACATGCGGTTGTTGCGCAGGCTCAGCACGCGCAGGCGCGCCATGTGGCTGAACGGCGCGCCCTGCACGCTGCAGATGCGGTTGTCGTCCATCTGCGCAGCAGCAAAAACAATCCTTCTGTTAAGGGACTAATGGCGTGGTAAAAAACATCACTTGACCATATTAGATCATTAAATTGACACGAATGCAATGTCTGATTCAATAACTCAGTCTGTTACAGCATCAGTCTGGATAACAGAAGAGCGATGAAATATTGCACTTCGTGGCAATACATTTTCAATAACTTCATAAGCACGGTAGTCTTAACTGAATTATCCCCAAGCAAATAGCAACGCTCAGGTGTATTCAGGAACATCAACAATAATGCGTGAGCACAATCATGAGGTTCACGCGTGAGTCGGGCATGGACAGAGGTAGATAGAGTTCGAAAACTGCTACATTCTAGCTCAGCATAATAGCTTCCTTCTCTCATTGGTTAGTCTCTACCGCTGGTTACTACTACTACGGAGAAGTGTAGGTAAAGTGGTGTCGGAAGAGGGAGAAGTGGTGGAGGAGAGATAATTCGGAACGTGCCAATCGAAGTGTTGGAAGTTAAAGTGGGAGTGTGGTAGAAGAGCTGAATACGATAGAAGGGTTAGTGAAATTTAAGACCATGGAAATCTGAAACTCGTATTGTTGTTGGAGGGGAGACTAATAACTCGTTTATTTCAGGCTTCTAGAAGTTTGCCAATTCCAGGATAGCGAAAAAACTGACTGGCTGACTAAAAGGTTTGAAACGGGATTTAAATTTTTGTTGAAAGTAGTATTTGTTATACATTTTTTTTAAAGAAAATTTCTTATTACAAATGAAAATATCTGATTTGATTTCTTTCAATACTTTTATTTAAGAATTATGATGAACCTACGACTTCTTTGTAATTCCATGACCGAGTATATCATTACTCTACACTACTTCTGTCAATTCTATTTTTACCCTTTTATAAATAGTGTATGATGAAACTAGTTTATAATGATATGATTTGTTGCATTAGTACATGTTTTGAAAACGAGCGACGTTAAGAGCAAGTTATTGAAATTTGTACAACAGCAAAAAATAACATTGTAAATAGGTTACATACGTTACTTTTTGTACAATAGCATTATATGAAAATCAAAGTTAATTTTTGGAAACTACTTTATTGTGACGTCACGGGTATGTGACATCTGTGAATCTGTGGTCGGCTGTTCGGTTTACTTCTTCGTCCCCACAATTCTCTCGCTGCAATTGGACGAGTGTGTGATGACGTAATTATTCGGGCCATAAACGGCAAATAAGTAATAATGTTTTCCATGATATGTCACTTTATGCACGATTTATTGTAACGAAAAAGGTCGTGTATAATGCTGGATTGCATGAAAACATTTTTCCATCAACTGATTTTTGTCGCTTGAGATGATTCTGATTCTAGCGCAATGAGATTGCAAGGATGTTGAGAGGGGGGTACGTTACCCTGAGCAAAAGCAATTTCGAGGGTGTCGGGTTTTGTGGGGAGTGGGGGCGCTGGGGCTGTGCGTGGCGTTACCCTGAGCTCGACGAGCCAGTCGACGCCGGCGAGGCTGTCCTGCGCGACGCGCGCCAGGCGGTTGTGCGAGAGGTCGAGCACCTCGAGCGACCGCAGCCCGCGCAGCCCCGCGCGCTCCACGGCCTCCAGCGCGTTGTGCGACAGGTTGAGCAGCAGCAGCCGCGGCGCCTCCTGCGGCACGCGCACAAGCTTACTCCTCAGCCCTCGGCAAGCGGAAGGCGCCTTATAATGCACAACGCGGAATTATAACAACAAATAAAACAACAACAATAACAATAATAATAGTAATAATAATAGTAATAATAAAATAATAAAATAATAATAATAATAATAATAATAATAATAATAATAATAATAATAATTATAATAATTATAATAATAATATTTTAAATGAAGTACTCGAGTAGTGGCCACTTGAAAATTGCATCAATTTGTTATTTCCCATGTACTTATTCACTTGACATTTTACCCCAAATCTGCTTTTAAACACTTGAGGTTCAAAAATGTACCGACTCATATTTTATTATCGCAATGCCAATACCTCAAGACTTTCCAGGTTATTCCTTAAATCAAGCATGTCACTTACACTGTGAATCACCTCAAGGCCTCGGACAAGGTAATTAGGTTACCTAGAGTTCGCGAGACCTGCGTCTAGAGCAACTTGCGCGTTGTTGAAATGTAAGGGTTGTACAAAACGTTCCGAGGTATGCTATTGCAAACCTTGCCCCCTGACAATATTTTGGAGAGTCACTTGACAAACATTATCATAAATTTAGCTATATTAATTTCTATTTCTTCTACTGAAGCAAATAAATTATCAATTTAAATGAAATCATGCATCAGTCAGATTTAAAATTAGCAAGTGACATTAAATTTAAACATTTTTAATCGAAAGTATATTTTATTTCGTAAGTACTTAAAAGTGTAATAATTACATTAACTCCCTATCTTCAGGTTAGGATGTTTAACAAAGGATCTTGTGAGAATAGTTAACTTAAAGAGTCTTCTTAATTTACTTCACATTGTTACTATAACTTAATAAATTCATAAATAATAACATAAAACGAAAACAAGGAAAAAATTCACCACTCAAACATATTCCTGTGTATTGGCAAAAATTATTATCAGGAAAAATTTTAAAAAGAAAATAAACAGGAATAAGTAATATAAGCTTAACACTAATCTGGATTGTTAAATAATACAAATCTGTCAAACACATATTCGTATTAAGTGACTATTCGTCGCCTCACGTCGCTTCAGCTTGCACGTAAACACCCTCTCTCTGGGTTTGGGAGGAAATGTGAACTGAGTCGGAAAGTTGGGTGATCTGGGCTGTCCGGGTGACGCCGCGTCGAAGGCTGAGTTGCCGACGTTTCGACCATCCTGTCGTGGTCTTCCTCAGGGCTCATATCATCCCTGAGGAAGACCACGACAGGATGGTCGAAACGTCGGCGACTCAGCCTTCGACGCGGCGTCACCCGGACAGCCCAGATCACCCACATGACTCTGGTCGCGGAAGCCTACGACTTCGAGTTGGAAAGTTGCCCGTGTTCGCAAGAAAGCCACGTTTCTCGGCAAAAAAGAAGAGCAGAGAAAAGATATAAACTACCTTCGTTCTACCGTTCACTACTGACCTTAGTGGTTCCTACTAATGTAGAAGTTCGTTACGAAGGCCAGAGGCCCTATTGATGCCTATACACATCAGGATTTTCCGTTGCAATGAGAGCGAGCGTTCGCGCGCGCTCACCTGAATGAAGCCGGGCGCCATCTCCGCGATCTCGTTGTGCTGCAGCTCGGCGCTGAGCATGTGCGGCAGGTGCTGCGCGGCGCCGGCCGGCAGCGCGCGCAGGCGGTTGTGCGAGAGGCGCAGCGCGCGCAGGCGCGGCAGGGCGCGCACGGCGCCGGGCGCCAGCTCGCGCAGCTCGTTGCCGCTCAGGTCGAGCAGCTGCAGGTGCGGCAGGTCGGCGAAGGCGTCGGCGCGCAGCTCGCGCAGCCGGTTGCGGCCCAGGCGCAGCTCCTGCAGCGCCGGCAGCGCGCGGCGCAGCGCCGCCGCCGTGGCCGGCGCCTCGGCCAGCAGGTTGTGCGACAGGTCGAGCGCGCGCAGCGCCGGCAGCGAGAAGTCGCCGGCCTCCGGCAGCGGGAAGGCGCGCAGCGCGTTGCGCGACGCGTCCAGCTCCTCCAGGTCCCTGCGCACGCACGCAGCGCTCAGTACGGGCGAAGGGAAATATTCACCCACTTTTGACCGACGGATTGGTTGGTGTTTCCGGGCACGCCAACGTCTGAGGTCGTTAGTTCCGCACTGTAGAGTCTGTTTAATCGCGACGGGTAGTGTATCACGAAGTGTGGTATATGCTTTATCGCGGGAGGTAACGGTGACCTTCCTCCGCTGGATGCCGAGATCTGGCGCTAACCTACTCAACAACTTGCGGCGCTGTTCCCCCACCATTTCCCCATCAATCCGGCCTCCGCCCCAGCTGGAACAAACTCTATGTGAGGTAGTGTAGTGTATGTAAGTAAGGGGTAAAGTTTGGACAAGGAAGATGAGGAAAAGATTGCACGCGGTCCGATGTCCTTTTGTTAGGGTACTGCTCTGGTATTCATCTGGTGTTGATCGGAGTAACCACAGAAAAGTACAGATCAGTGAAGCCGGCCTCTAGAATTCTCCTCGAGACAGCGCCTGAATTCATCCTAGCTATGTAGCCGGTGACAAAACTCCAGCCACCATCGGGACTTGAAACCTAGGATATCTCGGTCAGAGACCCTGCAGTAACATCAACTGATGCCCTGAGTCATCTCAGGCGGTCTCTTTGACCATTCGATGGTCTTTCGGTAAAGGAGGTCACTGATGTATCGAGAAAAAATGGAAGTGTGTTAATTAGTGAGTTCTTCGACGGCATTGGGCGTTTTAATGCAAAAATATTTCCATTGGGTATTCACCAACTTTTCCCCTGCCCTATTCGTTCTTTGGCCTCCTGATCCCCATGCATTAGCCTCCCACTCCTTCGACGGCTGAGGTTCATAGAACCATAGGGGATACTAGATACACCACAGCCGCTGTGACCCACGGGCCCATAGCGAGACTTGTAATTGATAAGTGGGAGGGGGGAGGAAGATGGCGAGCAAGTGGCGGGCACGTCGTGGTCTCATTTACCGCGCTTTGCTCCCCCCCTCTGTCCGCAGGCAGACCAACAACTTTTTGTGACCACCCTGCCTAATTCTAACAGGCGGAGGGAGGGGCAGGAAACAACGGCTATTTCTGTGGGTGATACACAGCTGTTCGGAAAAGCCTCGGGCGTGCCAAGAAATACAAGGACTATACGGGACTCGACCAGATCTTTTAGGCGCCCACATGCAGAATGCAAGAAAAATACCCTTTAAAACTTTATTTTTAAGAAATGTTGTTTACATGCCTAATTGTTTGATTAAACTTTTGTCTATTGCGAATTCAAATAAAAGCGTGATGTTAATAAAAAACGCTGCCTCTTTCAGATTGAGTATTTATGAGCTGTTCCTTTACGTCTATTTGATGACCAAATTTACAAACAGACATTGTCTCATCTGCTTTTCGACAGGATTTTCATGAATTCTCACTATGTTCTTCTTAATGAAGACATCAGATTAACGTAAATCACTCGTGACAACTATCTCTATTGTCTGAATAATATTTCTGTATACTTGGCAACTAGCAGCCGATAGGGAAGGGAGTTCTGCTATCCACTCAGAGGCTTCAAATTGTAATGATATCGTTGCAGAGTTGCCGATGCTTGTTTGGAAAACAATGAATCATTTAGCGCCATGAAGCTGACAATTGGGAGCACCGAGCGCTATTAGGTACCTGTTCAGTTTTGCACCGTGTGTGCGATTCTGTCGTCTACTCTTGTTTGCTCTCATTGATAATTGTTTCTTGCTACAGCTGCGTCTGTTGTGATCTGATGGAAGAATGACCATACGATCATGTGTCTGCAGCTCGAGTAAGTGGCAAAATCACGCTATCCCTCCCCCAGCTGTCCAGTGGAGAGAAATATTCGTACAATAATCTCTGAACTGACATTTAGTCGTAGTTAGCGCTTGACTCATCTGGCTGGCGAAAAAAAAGCAAACACGTCGTAGATTGATGGCAGCCTTCGACTATGCTCAACTTTTTTGGAAACCGTCAAACAATCACCTGCTGGCCCGAGCAAAGTGTAGTACCTGTTGCTGTGGAAGGTGTCCGGCGGCAGCTCGGCCAGCTGGTTGCGGCTGACGTCGATCACGCGCAGGCCTTCGGCGCGGCGCAGCAGGTCGGCCGACAGCTGCGCGAGGCGGTTCCCGCGCAGGCGCAGCTCGCGCAGCGCCGTCTGGTCGCGCAGCGCGCGCGGGTGCGCGTCCTCCAGGCGGTTGTCCGCCAGGTCGAGCAGCTGCAGACGCGACAGGCCCGCCAGCGCGCCGTCCTCCAGCTGCTGCAGGGCGTTGCCGCGCAGGCTGAGCGAGCGCAGCGCGGGCATGCCGGCCAGCGCGCCCGACGGCACGCGCGACAGCCCGTTCTCCGACAGGTCGAGCAGCCGCAGCGACGGCAGCGACACCGGTGGCGACAGCGGCAACGACGTGATCTGCGGGCGCACGCGATCACGCCGCATTAGGTTGATTGATTGAATGATTAGTGATTTCGGGAGCGTCAACTATTACGGTAATTAATCCCGCAAGTATAGTACATGTTTTATTGCGAGATGTGGCGGTCATCTTTTCTGGCTGGATGGCGAGATACGGCGTCGATAAACACATAAACACATCCGCTTTCCCCAACCTGGTATTTTCCTCGGTATGTGTGGTAAGAGTAGTGCATGCAAGTGTGTGTGTGTGTGTGTGTGTGTGTGTGTGTGTGTGAAATGGGGGCAAGGATAGGACAAGGAACAAGTAGGTAAGATCGCATGCGGTCCGTGGCCCTTTTTCTCTGACATGTCCCTACTGCTCCAACATTCACCTAGTGTCGATTCGAGAAACCATGGAAAACTACCGATCAGAGAAGGCGGCCGCTAGAATTCTCCTCCAGGCAGCGGCTGAATTCAACCCAGCTCTTTAGCTAGTGACGAAAATCCTGCCACCGCCGGAACTCGAAACCTAGGACCTGTTAGTCAGAGGCACTGCAGAGACATCAGTTGATGCCCTGAGCCACCAAAGCCGGCACCGTATTACGTAATATCGCTTTTCAGAGGAATATAATAAATATGAGTAATCGATTGAATGATGTTTTCGAGCGCGAAAACTGCTAGGTTCACTAATCCCGTAAGTGCATTTTATATCCCGTGAGATTGAGGGGTTACTCCTCCACAGGCTCTTGACATATGGCACTGATCTACTCATTGCGGGGTGTTCATTCCCATAGTGGGAAAATCTCTAAGCTAGCGTCTGGTCTCCCTGTGACGTAGAGTGGTGCTTGAAACAAAAGAGAAGTGGGAACTGGATCGGCGGGGAGAATAGTTTGCCTTTTGAACATGATAGGCCTCGCATTTTTCTCAACAGAATGAAAGTAAAAAAAAATTGAGTTGCATTAACAACTTCAACTTCAATCAAACGTACAATTAATGAGATTACATGCGTCGACTCGCGATGCGGTGAGAAATATCTATGGGTTTCATGGTCGACCGACAAGACCTTCGGCTTTCGGAGACAACCGTGCGCCTTCTCGCGCACGCGCAATAGCTTTTCCCTTTGAGATATTGACAATTAACTATTGACAGGAAGAAAGGTTGGCAGTTCTTCCTCAAATACGGGGTGTTTTTGATCGTTTAGAAGCGAGTTTTATTTAAAACTTGACTAAAGTAAATTTCTATTGTTATCATCTAAAAAAATAACATACATTTTATTTCAACAGGAAAGTAAATATCCTATCTGGTAATAACATAAGTGAGGTATATTCTCCCTTCCCTCCCCTGAAAAATTGTCACTCCCTTCTAATTCAAGAATCGCGTAACGTGTAGAACAGAACTGTCAAACAGAACACGTACGTGCTTTGAGTATGCTTGCCTTCACAAGGACACATCGATAATAAGTTGTATAGAAAAAGTTGTCGAGGAAAAGAAAATGCTGCTATTTTACAGGACTGGACTGTATTTCAGTGTAACTTGTAAAGTAAGACCATAAATAACTTGAAGTAAGTTTCAGCTCGAGTCTTCAAAAACTACTTCAAAAATTTAGATTTTTTGTTTTTAAAATATGAAATTTAAATTTAAAACAATTGTATAGAAAATATTTGTATTTAAAAATACGAATGAATACGTTAAAAATTAAAATGTAAAACACGTTTTCGTGGCAATGAGAATAGAAACCAATTAAAATATTTCAATTTTTGATTAGATTCATAGTTTAAACGATTTACTTTACTTCGTTATTTTACCCATTTTTTCGTCTAGACCATTTTTGTATGAGTAACAAAGCTTAAATTAGAAATTGATGATTTAACCAATGCATTTTGTTTTGTTTTGAGTTAAGCGTAAATTGATATCAAAATGTTTTGTTATTTAATAATGCCTCTTTGTGATATAACTGCGTTTGCTGGTCCAAATTCGACATGAAGTGTGCTAACCCCTGCTTCCCTGCATCGACCCTTGGAACACACTGTTTGCTCCGAACTGATATGAAGGTCATTCGCGTGGCCCTCCGGCTGATAACTTTCTTCTAGAAGTTTCGGTGATCATTAAGAAAACGGAATGACTCTGCAATACGACAAATTATATTAAAGATCTCAATAGATCATTGCACTAACTTGTATGCTGTCATACTGACGTGAGGTGACGTCATTCTGGTGCGCTTCAACATTCCACAACTTGTTTATCCCACCTTATGCTTTTGTGACTAGGGAATTCAACTGCAACATACAGGAACATACTGCTTACTTTTCTCTGAGTATGAATTATGAAAGAGTGGCTGGCGTCATGTGAGAAACTCGAGAAAACCTACAGCGAATCGACTTTGTCCACCTCAAAATCCACACGGATTGAAGTAGTCTTCATGTTCCGAAACCCAAAGATGGATAGCTAGTGCGCCGAGAGTTACATTGCGGTTTTGTTGTAGAATCAAAGATGAAGGAGGAGGTGGAGAAGAAGGAGAAGGAGAAGGACGAGGAGGAGGAGAAGGACGAGGAGGAGGAGAAGGACGAGGAGGAGGAGAAGGACGAGGATAAGGAGGAGGAGGAGGAGGAGGAGGAGAAGAAGAAGGAGAAGAAGAAGGACGAGGACGAGGAGGAGGAGAAGAAGAAGAAGGAGAAGGACGAGGACGAGGAGGAGGAGGAGAAGGAAGGGGGAAAGAAAAAGAAGAGGAGAAGGAAGGAAGAAAAATAATGGGGAGGGGAAGAAGAGTAGGAGGAGAAGAGTAAAAAGGAGAAGGAAGCGAAAATAATGGGGATAAGAAGGGGGAGTCACCTGGTTGCGGGGCAGGCGCAGCTGCTCGACGGCGCGCGGGAGGCCGGGCACGAGCGCGCGCAGACGATTCCAGCCCATGTCCACCTCGTACAGCGACGCCAGGTGGCGGAAGGTGACCGGGTGCACGGTGGTGAGCGCGTTGCCCGACAGGTTGAGCGTCTCGAGCGCGGGCGTGGCGAGGAAGGCGTCGGGGTCGAGTTCGCTCACGGCGTTGCCCGACGCGTCCAGGCGGCGCAGCGACGGCAGCTGCGCCAGCAGGCGCCCGTCCACGCGCCGCAGCAGGTTGTTCGACACGTCCAGCCCCTGCACACACAAACACGCAATGAATGGGGAGAAACATTTATGTAACTAGTACCGAAAGTGAGCCTTTGGCGCGACTTCAGGGACGAGAGGAGCCGAGTAAGGCATTTGGAAAAGAACATGCCAATTATACTTCCCTGCGAATGGCGTACATTACTTTGTTGTGAGATTTCATGGCAACTTACAAGTACATGTTTCGAATTATTTCCAATATGTCAAGACGGCAGTTATGTTGATTCATGTTGTTCCAGTGTTTTGCTTACTTTGCAGGCTCAGGTGTTTTATATCCTCATGACATTTTCCCGGTGCGGTACGGCAAATTCTATGAAATTCTACTCGTACGTGTACCACAAAGTGAATAAAGCGTGAAGGTGAACTATACTTTACATGCATCAATGATGAATTTTTTATTCGATCGTAGAAAAATTCTTAGTGAAATTTATTATTCACATATTTTTGACTTTCAACGCATATGTATACTTTCTAACAAATACATACCACTGATGTTTTGGAAATATTGTTTAATGTTGATAATAGAAGTGACGGTAGTAACAGCTTTATTAATCCGACAAAACCTAATATCATGGCGGCCCAGGGTAAATAAATGAGAAATGGGGAGAAAAACTTGTCAAAGAGTAAAGAAACAGGAAGCTAAATATTAATACGGCAGCAATAGCTCTTCAATGAATCTGGAGTATAAAATGAACAGACAACTGAACGGCAGAGCAAAACAGCAGAAGTGAAGTGCATTGAACAATATCAGAAATGAATTGAGAGATTACCGGACTGGAATTAATCCATCCAGAACAAAAAGGTCCCGAAAGAACACAACAAATATGAATAGGACAAGAATAAACTCTATATGAATTGACTGACTATATATTTGAAATTAATAGCGCGTGTGAAGGTTTAAGAGTAATAGGGTTTATTAAAAATTGTAATAAATACGTCGAAAACAGGATTGTAACTTTCCGTGCACATATATAGCCAAAATTAATTGCACGGACGCCAGAGGGAAGTGATGATTTATTTATATATTTGCATTTAAGAGGTTCATAAGTGATTATGTAATGAGTAGATAACAACGATAGTTATTACAAGGTGAATGATGATGGAGAAATGATGGAATGAGAGTGTTACGCAGCGGATTACCGTTGTCAGTTTTCTTCTCCTAGTAGCGGGGTAGTGGGACAGAAAGCCCTAAAATAAGAAGCAAAATCCTTTTTGAGGTGGTGGAGACTATTTTGAAAGATTCTCAGATCCACAGGATTCTAGATTTATGCAAATGTATGCATGGTATGCTAGATATATTGGCATACTAACTTCCAAGTCGTTACGAAGTTGTTAAGAACTTTAACTGTACGATAAAGTTTTGAAAATATTTTAATAATGATAGTACTTTTAAAAAAAAAGTGTTGTTGAGAAAAACCTTAATTTTCACAAAGAAGAAGTCATCAATGGTGGAAATCGATGGTAAGTGACGCTCTAGAGACTGGGGAAACCGGCGAACCCGGTTTGAAGAGAATGAAGAGCTCGCTGCGACGGCTGGCGCACCTTGAGCGCGGGCAGGTCCCACCAGGGCATGTCCTGGAAGGTGTCGGGCCCGTCGGCCAGCGAGTTGTTGCGCAGGCGCAGCTCGCGCAGCGCCGGGAAGGCGGCGAAGGCGTTGCGCCCCATGCGGCGCAGGCGGTTGTGGTCGAGGTGCAGCTGCTCGAGCGCCGCGTGGCCGCCGCGCAGCGCGCCGGGCGGCAGCTCCGCCAGCAGGTTGTGCGAGGCGTCGAGGAAGCGCAGGCGCGGCAGCGCCGCCAGCACCGCGCGCAGCTCCTCAGGCAGCACCAGCGCGTTGTTGCGCAGCCGCAGCTCCTGCCACCCACGCAACACGCCACGCTCATGCACATGCCTATAACTAAAACGGTTAGAAAAAAAAGTTGGGAACATTAGCGACTACTCGTCTTCTGATGGGAGACTTTTCCTTCTTCGTGGGTTCTCCCCCCCCCTTCTGCTGTACTTTATGGTCTCTTTTACTCGGCTTTGATGTGATGGAGAGACCAGGTGGGGTGAATACGAAAAAAATTTAATAGCTTAGAACACGGTAGGTTCTAGATATTCTAATAGCTTAAAGGTCCTTGGTATAGCCGCATAGTTATCAAGTTAGGCTGGGGGCGCTGTTGGTTATTTATTCGTTTACAACGATTCAAACTCCCCTGAATTCTATGCAACCCGCCGAACGGTCAAGGATTAAGCGCATCTTCACTGTATACAAGTATTATTCCCCTGCGGTTGTGAATTTTCTGCCAAAATTATTCCTCGAATCTCGGACAGTAAATCAATTTCTCACAAGCAAATGCTTTCTGTTAGCAAACGCATGCCCAAACATTTGAGGGAGAACGTTTTAACAAAAGAATACTAGACAATCAACCATGTCTAAAACATGACAAAGCCATACTTGCGAGAAAGACTTTCGTATTATTAGAATTTTTGCACTGCGCGAGGTAAAGCGTGATGGACAATCACGTGACCAATAGTGTGATGTGTAACACACAGCAATAAAGAAGCATTGCCGGGCCCACTAGTAAATGAATAAAATAAACGTTTCGGGCGGTACCTGGAGGCCGCTGTCGGAGCGCTGCAGGAAGGCCTCGGGGTGCACGCGGCGCACGGCATTGGCGCTCAGGTCGAGCGTGCGCAGCGCCGGCACGCGGTGGAACGCGCCCCGCTCCACCTCCATCACGCGGTTGCCTGCAACACGCGCACGCGCACGCACACGCGCTCTCAGACGGCCGTCGCCACCAGGCGCAGCCACCGCACGCCGTTTTTAATTGTTGGCAGTGGGCAGTGTGGGATTTAGGGTTACTTGTTTCTTACTTTGTATTGACGGTCGAAGTTAAATTGAAGCACGGTTTATTAATAGATGTTACAAATTTATTTACAATAATCTCTATATCATATGTAGAATGCATGTATTGTATGTACAGTGATTACAATGATCTCTAGTGTATCACAAGTGAAAGTGTTTTTTAAATAAATGTGAACATCTACAATTAAATGCCCTTAAATTTAATTTTGGCTGTCAATAAAAATAAGGAACAAGTAAAACTCGAACTTAATAATTAATGATAGTTGTTTTTAGAAATTAAACACTATTGGTATTATTTGTCTTACTTTATTTACTTTACTTCCTTTTCATTTTCTTTACCTACTTCATTTACTAACTTTTTATTTTTAGTTTCTTCCTACAGAGTAGAGAGAAAGTTATGTAATGCTGCGCAAAAAGTGAATTTTCGGCAAAAACTCTTATTACAGGACCCTGGTAACAAAAAAGTGGATAAATCCAGTTGCTAGATTTAGAAAAAAATCCTCTCTTATACGGTGTAGCCAGAATCCGTGTTTTGTGGGACCTTGACACCGAAAAAGTGAATGACGGCAAACGTCCGTCTGTCTGTCTGTCCGTCTGTCTGTCTGTCTGTCCGTGAACAATGCTAGCAGATAAACCATTCAGCCGATTTTCTCCACAATTGATATCCCTCAATCGTTCTAGTTGATGTCGCCGACCTTGAAATTTGTAACAGAAAATTTAATTTTAGGGAGTACTTTACATGAATTTTGAATTTACATGAACCTTGATTTTTCGAAAATTGCAAAAGTTGTGACTCTTTTCGGCGTCTTCCTACAACTAAAATATTAAAGATATAGATTTCCCCTTAATGAAATCTTTTCCTTAAGATATATTTTGAAAAAAACATCACGTACAATTTTTCGCAAATTTAAGTACTTTTCGCGTAATTTTGCGTGAAAATACGGGGGAAAAAGACGTGTATTTTATCACCACTAGTTCACTTATGTATTTCTATTTCATTAATTCATGAACACTTATTCACTCATTTTATTCCTTATTTACTTCTTCATCTACATTAATTCTCTAATTTCGCTGAAATATTTGTTCAATGCTTGAAATATGTGTCTTCATTGGAGACGGTTACGACTATTCTTAATTGCTTACAAACGATCAAACAGCTACCTAAGAAAAAATCAGCTGGAATTGACCAAATACCCAACCATAAGTTTTACAAAAAACTAAATAAGAAAAGCAATTAGCTATCTAACTGCAATATTCAATTCAATATTAACGACAGGGTACTACCCAAAAAATGGCAAACACTCTATAGTCAATACCGAATTCCAAAACCAAGGCAAAAAACCCACACTTACAGAAAAACTATAGACCTATAAGCCCTAATGCCCATGTAGCCAAAGTAATGGAAAAACTAATTGTAAAAAGACTTCTGAATATATATTAATCGAAATACAATACCATACCACCTTTCATTTGGATTCAAAAGAAAAGGCACTCAACAAACACACAACTTTTAAGAATAACAAGAATTAATATATAAAAACTTTCGAACAAAAAAGCACACACTGGCAGTATTTTTAGATGAACCAAGCATTCGACAGAGTTTGGCACGAAGGTTTAATATTTAAATTACAAATCCGGATTAACCCCTTACTTTGGTAAAAATAGATAGAAAAGCTTCCTAAAAAGAAAGAGTTTTTTCAGTAAGAAAATTAACCTACTCTACACATAAAGAATCAAGCTGGCAGTACCAACAGGCAGCCGATTTCTGCAACTTGTTCAATATATTCACAGCAGATTTCCAAACTACTCAAAAACGACAACAATAGATTATTTTGCTGTGACAGTGCATACTAACTTCTAAAAGTGTCTAAAAGAAACAGCCAAAAAGAATCTACAGAGGAAGCTGAACAAAGGTAACACAATGGGCCAGACAATTGGAAATAAAACCTAAACCCAATAAATGTCTAGCAAAAATATTCACACTATGCCCATAAACACTTACCTCCCTGACCCTAAAACTACTTAACAAAAACTGGATTGCGTTACCAAAAAGAAACCTACTTAAATATTTGGACGAATATTAATGGACAGACCAGAGACTGACAATGCGACAAAACCATATACAAATGACAAAATCACCCAAGCAAAGAGAAGACTTCATAAATTGTACCCATATATTAACAGAAAAACTGTTTCTCCAAAACAGAATGCTTACACTAGTCTGTACAGACAATCAATTCTCCCAGTTATAATGTATGATGCCCAATATTGGTACAACACGATGGCGACTAATATCAGGAAAAATACAAACATTTCAAAATAAGATTCTACGTAATAGCTGTTAAATGCCCCTGGTTCATAAGAAAAACCAATTAACGCTCAGAATTAAAACAAGAATACTATTCATCACATACTCTTCAAAGCACTACATTCCTTTTTCACATCTTGCAATATTATACCCAACAACTGACCACTACACACTTGGTTCCGATCTAGCAACAACATCCCGAATCCAAAACCAGATTTCCCATAATGATAAATTATCCTAATACAATTTCATGCTGACGCCCCCTTAAACCTTTCGAATTATGCAATAAAAAAATGTAAAGAAATAATCAACAAACCTTACTTGTTAAAACATTCAAAATAATGAGGAACCTGTTGGGCTTCCCTTATTTCTATTTATTCTAACAGAATGTTTGTATTTTTTTAAAATGTGCATACTTGTTTCAATGTTGACTGAAAGCGTATTCTGCTGTCTTATTTATTTGTAACCTGTATTTTTAAGTTGTTATTGTATGAAAAACAATCCCTGTAAAGCAGTTATGCTGGTCTGTGGAAATAAATAAATAAATAAACAAACAAACATAATTGCTTACATTGCTGTTAGTGAAATGAAAGAGAGGTGGTTCCAGAAGAAACTAAACAAATATAAAGCGCTACACGTTGTAATATTTGTAATATTTTTGTTTTAAGTTGAATTATTTTTCTTTAAGGATATTTGCACCTCTCTTGGACAAATTAATACATTCACATAGTTGCATTGGGATTTTAATGATCACTTTTACAATTTACGTTTTCGATTAGGGTCTTCAGTGAAGCCCCATGGCTTGCATTCTTATAACAATGTATAGAAATATTTTACGTTTTAAAATTTTTTTGATATATTAAATTTAAATAAAAAATAAATATATATGAAACAGATACAAACAATAAAATAATGATTACTCAATAAATAAAGAATAGTTTGTGGCGTAGTATCTACAAGAAAGAAAATACGTCGTTGCAGAGTCTCTTTCTGGAATTTTCTGAATGAACTGCATCTCAATTTCAAATAAAACTTGAAACAAGATATAAAATTAGTGAAACTGCCAACTGGAGATGAATTACACGCACAGAATTGCACGGGCCATTATAAAGGAATTAATTTTACAGTCAAGGTCGTTCCAGTGTAAAATGACTCAGTGGGTTACGTAGAAGGATGTGCAATGTACTCATCAGTCGGTTGATGAAGAACATTACCATTTTTTTGCACTTACGGTAATTAAGTATTATCTTTGTTTTTCATCACATCCACCCTTACCTAGTATCGCACCTCTGATTGTGTCCGTTGAAACTGTATGCAATAACAAGATGTAGGTTAGGATTAGTTTTTTTTCTATTTCACAATCTTTGAAGTATTTGTGTTTTTGCATCAATAACATCCAAGTCATTGCAGAGTTTTCTGTTTAAATAAGACATTTTATTAATAAACTACAGAACAGAATTCTAAACGTTCCCAGTATTGATAAACTAAAGCATGCCAAATTGATCTAGAAACGAGCGGTCCCGTAATAAAACACGATCTACCGCACGGTCAGATCAGAAACAGTTACATCACGTCAACGCAACGGCTGCGCTAACTGACCATCGAAGCAGCGCAGGATGAGCAAATTTGTTGGCGAAACAATCGTTTAGCCGAACGAACGCGACCAACAAGCCATACATCGAAACGAAGTAGGCCGTATCTTTTACAATTGTTTTACCATCCGGGACAGTTATCTAAATATCCAATACGAACAATTTTATTATTAATGAGAAGGAATCAGCGTTATATAGCATTTGAATATTAACTCTCAATATACCTCATAATGTTTGTCTAATGAATGAAGGAGGCAAGTAAAGCGATCCTGGTAAAACATAACATAGGCAAATGGACGGAGAAATATAGGAATATGAGACAGTTAAAGTTGTGTAAAAAGCAGGTTTTTAATTAATGACTGCTTCTAGTGTTAACTATCCAAGAAGTAGGAAAACGCCATAGTGATGGTACGAGAATACAGTATTGAAACGGTTCTCATAGCGGTGTGCCGTTTTTTCTAATTAACTTATATAATATTTCCGTGAATTCAATGAATTGGTATAAATTTTGCTGGTCGTCTTATTGCATATTTGTAAGAAAATACTATCAAAGAGACTAAATATCATATTCATTCCTGGATGAAAAACATGTTTGAACGAAACGCAATTATTCAAAAGCTACAGAACAGTACGGAAGTACGGAAAATGATCAAACGGTATATGGCCTTGCCATACCTCAATAACGCAAAATATTTGTACATAAATGTGCAGAAAATGGTTGTAATATGTTGATAAATCGTGTAGCATTAGATCTTAAGTATATAACATTTTCCTTCAATTTATTCAGGGGTCCTCTGTTGACACCCCCCCCCAACCGCCAGGTGACAGAATGGCCGGCAGTCAATGGAGATGCAGCGCGGGCGGGCGCATGCGTACCGACGAGGTGCAGCTCGCGTAGCTGCGGCAGGTCGACGAACGAGGCCTCGGCGAGGCGGTCGACGAGGTTGTGGTCGAGGCGCAGCGTGGCGAGCGCGGGCAGGTCGCGCACGGCGCGCCCCACCACGCCGGCGTCCGCCAGGCGGTTGCCGCTCAGGTCGAGCGACTGCAGCGCCGGCAGGCGGGCGAGCGCGCGCGGGTGCAGCCACGCCAGCCCGCACCACGACACGTTCAGCTCGCGCAGGGCCGCAGTCGGCCAGCAGGCCGGCCTCCAGCCGCGACAGACGCGCGACAGCGACACCTAAGGCAGCAGGCTCTCAACTCGCGTGGCGATTGGCGCTTCGAATGAGCGGAAGAGGGAACGCCGGACGGAACAGTGTGGGCGGTGGGTTGGAGCGTGGCGAGAAAGGTGTCGGAGGAGAACTAGACGAGACATAGCGGAACGAATCAATAGGGAGCAGGACGGTATGTCGGGCGGTGGGACCTGGGACAGGTTTAGCGGTGCGTGATTGCGGACGTGGGGGAGGAGAGGGCAGGGCAGACGCAGCGGATGCCTCCTGCGCCCGCCGCCCGCACCGGACGAAGAGAAGGGACGGGACGGGAGGGACGGAGCGGGGCAGGGCGAGGAGGAACGGAGCGGGACACGGTGGAACGGAGCGGGAGGGGCAGGAAAAGAGAGGGAGGAACGGTCCAGGGTAGGAGTTGTGTAAAGAGAGACAGGGCTGTGCACGGAGGGAAGGACGTGGAGGGAAGGGCATGTTGGTGCTGAAGGGAGCAAGATAACGCTAGGCACGGTGGTACTAGGTGTATTAGGTCAGGGTAGAAAAAGTAGAGGCGATTGCGTCCTTGTGCTATTTCTTGTTCGCATAAAGGGTAATGCGAACTCTTATATCGTTATGCTGAAATAAACTGCACTACCAACTCCGTCTGGTCAAAGTTTTCAGAAAGCTAGATGAATGGAAATATGGAGTAAACAATAACTTATATTTACCTCTAATGTCTCCAGATCTGGCATTGCTCGGAAGTGCGTAGGTGAAAGTTCAGACAACGATGGAGATTGCAAACGTAGATATCGTAACCGAGGTAGACCTACAAAAACAGAGTTAACAAATAAAATTATTAACCGCTGAATACAAGGCCTAAAATAATGTTAAAAGAGTGTGCACAAAATCGCATACAAATATATCAATTCTCACAAACTTCTTTTTTGTAAGTTGGTGTAACTCTTATAAATATAATTTAACATAATTTCCACAATTGCAATTTCTATGTTTTAACATGTTAAAGTATGTAAGTATAATGAGCGAAATTTCCTACAAAATACCGTTATTGTGGCGCAAGGTATGTGACTTTAGAAGAGTTAGGTTGGCACCATGTTTCAGTGAAAGTTTCCTACTTCAAAATTTCAGATTATCCTCTTGATAAAACGGCATCATAGTCACGCTTTCTTCTAAAGAGGCGTTGACAGAAAAAAAACAATGCGGAAAGTGACACGACTGTGCTCAGGTCACCGAGATTAACGTCTTTGCCATATCAAGAAAAAACTGAAAATAAGCAGGAGTATCATAAAATAAACACACTTCAATAAGTTATAGAATAAATATATTATGTTCAGTGGTTTAGGGATTATCGTTGTTGTGAAATACACGGAACAAACCAAAGCATTTTTTTGATGAAAAAGGTTAGAAATATTGTTTCAATAGTAATTACCCCACCAGATTTATACGTAGACTTAATACATTTTCTGAGAATCAATTTATTGAAAATATTGATCGTAAGATATAATATGAAGTGTAAAATCAAATTAACCTAAAATAATGACAGGCTTCAGTCTTTTTAGCTGTTTGCGCCATCTGATATATTTTCATTAAATCCGTGATGGAACAAGGGATGCATTTTCTCTTTTCAAATTTTTTCGAGCAAACTCTGAAGCTAATCTATAAGTAAGCAAAGTTATAAGAATTAGCTAAGCTAATTATACTAGACCTATTGATCCAGATATTCGTCATTTTTGCAATTAGAACAGACTGCAAATGTTTTTAATAAAAACAAAATATGGTTATATGGTCTCTTAAAATTTCATAGCAATAAGACTTACGTGGTGTCGAGAAATATCAACGATTGGCGTAATAGAATATTATTCTAATTTTAAAAAAGCGTATTTATTTGATAATAAATTCAATTATTTAGAAAATTATTTAATGAAGAAATATAATTTTAAAATTGTCACTAAAATTGAGAAGTATAATTTTTAAACATAACATTAAAATTATACAAATTCTAATTACAATTTTGAGGTGTCACCCCTGCTATGGTGTCTATAGCTCCACCTAGGGACTGTGGTGAGTGCAAGATTGCCATGTTCTAGAGTGTCACTAGAGTTGCTCGAAGCAACAACTAATCCAAACTTCAGTTTTCATAAAACAGATACGAGTGCTGCAGTCTTTGTTAAAAAATATTCTTTGCATGCTGAATGTGGTATAATTAATTTTATATTAACTAGTTTTGTGCACTTTGCATATAATCATGAGTTGACATGTACAAATTTTTCAAGTATTTCATTGTTCTAAAAAGAGTTCAGTAAATTACGTGTTAACAGTGTTGATAGTTACTTCTACTTATAAGATAAAGAGGCACTAGAACCGCTCTAAATCGAGAAGAGTCAACCTAAAACTACGTTTATGTTACGGATAATATCCGAATCTAGATAATTTTCCGAAATGGGTCGATAAAGTCTGAAGTAGTATCGAATACTTCGGATATTAACAGGATGAATTACTGTATCTGACATGTTGGTGTGTTGGTGTAGAACGTTACGGTAAAAGCAAGTACGAGGTGAATAAGTACCAGATTGCAAGGGGAAAGTTGCTAAGTCAAGGTGCATGGTTTCAGGTTCTACCGTGACAATCGTAAATTTACACCACCTAACCTAATGTAACCTCGCTATAAATGTTGTCTCATAATAAATGTTACAAACTTCTACGTCACGGACATATTTTGTCAATGGACATATGGTGGAAAATTTCACATACCGGAATCACACAGGTGGCTTTTGCCCCTGATTGGTACGCAAACTGTCTGGCACTCGTGTTGGGCGGGTTAAGCTCTGACGGAAATACTTCATTTTCTCGCCAATGCGTGAAGAGTGCCTACTATTAAGGGACAAATGCCGCATGCTTAATTTCGTAACATGAAATCTTCCACCATGTGTTCACTGGCAAAAATGATATTCGGCCCCCTACTTGCCTTACACGTTTGTAACAATCATCATGAGAAAATCTGTATACATCCGACGCTTTATTGCGTTTCAACTTGCGAATTAGACATATTTCGGACTTTAGCCATAAAGCATACTTTGCGTTATACGCCAAGAATAACGCAAATTATACGTTATGGCAAAGGTAACCCTACATGCTCTAGACGTTTGTAACAATCATTTTGGGGAGACGTGTATACATATGACCCTTCTCTATGCTATAATTCACAAATGAACCATATTTCGGACTTAAGCCATAAAACATACTTTGCGTTATGGGGAAAGAATAACGTAAACTATATGTTATAGCTAAGGTAACCCTATATGCTCTAGAAGTTTGAAACAATTATTTTGAGCTGTGTAATAGTAGGGCTTCTTGTAATATATGTAAACCTATATACATGTAACGCTTCTCTATGCTACTGTTCGTGAATTTGCTATATTTCGGACTTTTGCCGTAACATATACTTTGCGACATACGAAAGTTAAGCTTTCTGAGCATCATCTCGTAGATGGGCAACGCACCGGAGAAGCTGGGCGTGTGCCGCATGGCGCCGGCGACGAGCGTGACGGCCTCGAGGGCGGCCGAGGTGCGCAGCGAGTCCACGGGCAGCGCGCGCAGGCGCGGCTCCTCCACGAACAGCTCGAGCAGCGAGTCCTCCAGGCCTGCCAACCACGCGGGCGCCACGCGCTCCAGGGCGTTGGCGCGCAGCATGAGGCGCGAGACGCGCAGCGGCGCGAAGGCGCGGCCGGGCAGCGCGGGCATGAGGTTGGCCTCGAGGATGAGCTCGTCCACGGCGCGCGACAGCAGCGCGGGCAGCTTGCGCTGCAGCGCCTCCAGCACCGCGCCCAGCTCGCTATTGCTGCACCTGCGCACACCCGCACCCGCGCCGTTAGCTCGCGCAAGCCCTCCTCATCCAGCACTTCATTCATACACAGATCGGGTCATTTCATGCAGATTGATTGATTGGTGTTTCTAGGCTCGTGAACTGCGATGGTCATTGATTGCGTAGGATGCCGCGACCGGAGTTTGTTGCGGCCAACACATTGTGGCTTTCCTCAAAGCGTACTGCTGACGCAGCCATTGTACGTTAGCATGTTGGCTGAAGCAGCTAGCACGACACAGCCGCAGCCCGGCCTGGACAGCCTAGATTAGGATTTGGTAATTAGTCCTGTAAGTGTAGTGTATATTGTAAGCCAAGAGGTGGCGGTGATTCTCGCTGGATGGTGCGATCCGACTGCGACCTACACATCGGCTTGCGGAGGAATTACCCTCACAAATGTCTCCCCACAGTCCCTCCAGCCCAGACTAGCTCTTAAGTTCTTGACTCGTCTCTCTCGCACATGGACCACTCTTCATTCACACACATACGGAGTCATTTCATGCGATTGATTGATTTAACGAGTCAAACGCTGTGATCTCTATCCCTTTACTGTAGTTCATGTTCAGGGATTGTTTGTTTAATGTTTCCAGGCGGTTTTTTAGCACTCTTCTTCCTTCTTTTTGGAGTGTAACCATTGGGTGTGTGTTTTTAAGCATCATTTTTGCTGCTGCAGACATCTAGATATGTTATAAAAAGAAGTTGTGAGGTATATTTTTTTGCATTCTAGCTTAATAAAAAATACTGATATTATGAACATTCTTCACTTAGCGGAATAATACGGAGTAAAACGGCTCCAACACAAATCTGCTTTTGTTTATGAAATGGACGTTAATCATTGCGAGTTAAATCACAGAACATGCCCCCTAATTTGGTTTGCACCAATGAGTATTAAAAAATCCTCATTTGACTGACAATATACACGTATGATATGGCATGTATGTAAGTTTCTGCATGGGATAAATTCTTTCGAAGATTGTAACGGTTACCATTATAAATTTGTTGGTAGAAATGCAATTGAAGAATTTAAAATATTTTTCCAAATATACATCGTCTTCAAAATGGTATAATAAACTCTCAAATTGCAGTAATAAATGTTTTGTAGCCTAGGTCACGTTCAGACAGTATATAACACTAAAGACGGATGTGAGAGATCTATAAAGTCTGAACGGAAGCAATCTACACCGTGCTCTCAAAACAAGTGGAACCGGAAACAATAAAATCCGTTTCGTGTAGCGGGTCCTCGTCCGGTTGGATAGACCGCGACCTACGAAAGAAAGTGCTACTTGAAGGCCGCGCCTTTTGCCCGGAATGCGGAATTTTTTGGGGAGAGACTATTATCAAAGATAGCTAAATATTTAACTTATCATAAATTTCAAGTAAGTTTTCACTTTTACATGTAATAAGGGTTACAGAATAGTATCTGTAGACAGCAATTGTCATAACATCTTTAAACGTGCATCGTCTCAGCTTCTATTCATAAGCCAAATTATTATTATTATTATTATTATTATTATTATTATTATTATTATTATTATTATTATTATCATTATTATTATTATTATTATCATTATTATTATTATTATTACTCACAGTTTTAGCTGGTCGGTATGTCAACCACACACAGGAATGATGACCAGGTGTGCTGTTGCTTTATTGAAGATACAGGTGGCATCTAACAATACGGCATGCATTCAAGATGACTACCTTCTGCATATTCTCTATATTCCTGGCAATTGAATACACTCCAGTGCCCAAAGTGTAATTATCGGGATCACTCCTGTAGATATTATTTATTATTATAGGCACATTTGTCACTTTACTGAAGTTCCATTGAGCTGTGAATTCATGGGCGATATTGTTATACTTCTGGATCTTCTCTTGATATTTTACCGATATGTTGTGGGATTGGGTATTGCTATATCGATAAGGAAAACCTGGTTTGTATCAATCAATGTAAGTTATGTCGGGTCTATTGCCGCCGACGTGTCTGTCAGTAATAGTAGAGCGATCCCAGTAGAGTGTGTGTTCACTACTTTCAAGCACATTCTGAGGCACATATTTATAATACAGCACGGAAGTGGCGAGTAAGCCCGTTTTCAATGCAAATAATTGGTGGACATGCTTCGCCACTTCATCATGTTGTTTTTGTATTCCAATTGTGCGTGGCCACTACATCCACTTGTCACGTGTTGGATAGTTTCCCTTGCGGCCTCACATCTTCTACACGAGTCGGAATGGATGGTAGAATCTTTAAGAATGTGTTTTCTGTAGTTCAAAGTTGGGACCATTTGGTCCTGGATAGCTATCATAAATACTTTGTCTCCGGAAAGAGATCCCCGTGCTGGAGCCATGTGTGCGACGCAGAGATTTCGACTACTGGTTTTCTCAGCTCATGAAGGTACCTTCCGTGCTGTGCCTTCGCTTTCCATGAGGTTATCTTCTCTTCCGTTTCAGTGATTGGCTGAACAGACGTATCAAACGCTTTCAAGTTCAGAGTACTCTAGTTATTATCAACTGTGCTCACTGCTTCCTGAACTCTCCCACAATGTTCCAGGAAGTATCTTCTGAGTGATGCAATTTGAGAGCTGTGTAGATTTATAAGATCTACAACACCTCGCCCTCCTTGAGTCCTTGGAAGGGTAAAACACTCAATACTTGTGGGATGCGGTTTTCGGTGTTGAGTCATAGCGGTTCGAATTGTCCTCTGGAGGTTGTCGAAGTCGGTATTGCTCCATTTAATAACGCCAAAGAAGTATGTCAGCACTGAAATAACAAATGAATTGATGACTTGCCTAATGTTTCTAGCCGAGAGTTGAGTTTTTAAGAATCCATGTAATCGTTTATACACTTCAGTTGTTAGTATGTGTGCAATATGTTTGATTCGGAGTGACTGTTGGAAACCAAAGTATTTGTAAGTTTCATGAGTTCCCATGAAGGTAATCTTTGGTTCACTATCATTTTACAAATTTATAACTTGCTTACGACCTGAATGATATTCACGCTCCTGCACTTATTAAAACCGAATTTCATCTTGATGCCGTCAGTGAACTTCTCCGTCACTTATTAGTTACCGCATATGACTCAGTGCATAGAGTCATTTTGTAGGTCATTCATGTAAAGAAGAGGGGTGACACGAAGAAGAATTGAGGCTTTTTTTTGTTTTTTAAGGCTTTTTTAAGAGCGATGCCATAATTAGATGAATTTAGTAGAGTAGACAGGGGATTCAAGGCTAAGCAGAATAATAAAGGGCTTCACGAAACACCTTGGAGTATCTGTTGTTATTATTATTAACATTAATTTATTATTTATAAACATTGTAATTTGGCTTAAAATGACCATTGATAAATATTAGGACACAGTTTTATTTGGGATTTAATATATTTTATGTGATCAGAAAGTCCCGCATTATTAGTTTTGAACCTATATCGCTTCTATGATCGTAGGTGCTAAGTAATAAAAGCAATAAAGCAATAAAAGTAATAAAAGGAAGACAATGCTACATTGACTTCCTTTTATGAACCAACGAATGAACATGTGTTTAATCTATACGGCTAATTATAAAAATCGTAACTTGTACTTAACACTTAAACAAGGCTTAAAAACCCTATAGGGCTTGGAGTGTAGAATCTTAAGGAAATCGCGGAACACATTAGTGGTAAGTAATTTCTGGTATTCATTTTTGCAGTGTCAATTGTCATCTTCACAGCAATAATAAATAGTTTACGCTAAGAACAATGAAGTCTCATGAGGATGATCGGTAACCAAAGATTGGTATTTTATTTCTTTCGCGTGAAAACCGTTTCTAAATACATTATCTTAACCTGTAAGAACCTAACACAATGATTGAACTAACTGCACTTTAGTTACGCGTCTAACTCTGTCGATTGGTGAGAAACCAAAATATTGGCTGACCGGAAGACACCGCACCTCCCGGGATATAATATTCACTACAAGTTTAAAACTCAGAGCACTTGACCCTCCAGCACTGCCGCTGACTCACCAGCGACTCTGACTTCGAGATCTTGGGCTCCAGCTCCGAACGGTGGAACATTTTGACACTGAGTATTGAGCTAGACCTAATCAAGCGGTTATCTGAAGGACTATTCTAGTGGTTAGGTGTTCTGATTGGTAGTTTTCTGTGGTTTCGCGAATCAATACCGGGCGAAAGTCTGAGCAGTACCTTCACATAGGGGCCGCACGCGATCTTTCCTTTCTCTTCTTTGCCCTATCATCCCTTTTACACACACATCCACTACACTACCACATATGTCGAGAGATTAGTCGAGATTTTAAAACTTGTAACTGCAGGAGCTGTGCCCTAATGTGGAGGAATTCCATGAGAAGGAAATCTCTAGCAACCCTCTGAGTAGGATGGCGCCGTATCTCGTCGCATCTAATGCGGGAGGATCACTCTCACCACCTCCCGAAATAAAACATTCACTTCATTAACGAGACCTGTAGTGGTTGCCCGTGTCCCTTTTCGCCAACGGGACGCAGCAGCGAAATGGCGGCGCCCCCGGAAAAAGCGGCCTCCGCTCACGAGAGGTCGCTGAGGTCGTGATCTGCACGATCGTCACGCTTCAGTCGATCGCCCTTACGGCCGGGCCAGTCGGCGAGCCTTTACCCCGGACTGTGTATAACATGGCGCCCAGCGAGCAGAGAGAGTAGTTCAAGTCACGCCGGCAATAGTGCGAGCACCGCTGAGTGTTAGTGAATGTAATAGTGAGTGACCATGCTGCCTGAGAGTGGAAGGACTCTTCTGGCTCACGACTACGGCAAAGTTATTGGAAATAATTTCGATTTTGCTTGTTCTGGGAAGTCTCCAGGATATCTCCTGGCAATTTTTGTGTCTACGCTTGTTTATGGTATTTTCTGTGAAAATCTGAGTAGAACTGTTTTACGAAATTGGTATGCTTCGGCCATTACAAGACTAATGACCAAAGCAGTTTACGAGCCCGGAAACAATCCACCAATCAATCATTGAGGAATGATAGATAGCGTGCAGTAAATGGCTCGGATGAAAGGGTTACGCTCACAACCGATCAGAGCAGCCGGACACTAGACTTCTCCTTCAGTCTGTGGCTGAATTCACAACGAGCTAGTATCGAAAATCCGCCACCGTGTATGATTTCCTGCCGGAGAGGCTGAGCAGAGTTAGCCGACGGGTGCGGGAGTAGGAGCGGTAGTCGTGCGGCAGGGTGAGCGGGGGGGGGGCGTGCCGCTCACCAGATCTGCAGGTCGTCGCCGCGCATGGAGCAGCGGCACGGGTGGATGGCGCTGTCGGGCGGGCAGGTGTCGGTGGCGTCGGCGTCGGCGTCGCCGCCCACCGCCGCGTCCAGCGCGTTCTCCTGCGCGCGCGCGGGCGCGGGGGCGGCGCCCAGCAGCGCGCACAGCGCTACCGCGAGCAGCAGCTGCAGCAGCGGCGGGGGCGTGGGCGGAGGCCGCGGCCCCCGACTCCTCCGCGCAGGGGCCATCACCTCATCCCGCGAACCTGTTCACACAAAGGAGATGTGCGGTCACGAAATGCGCATGTACACAGAGGCGACGTACGGGCGCAACACGCGAAAGCACAAACACACACAGGCGACTCAAAGTCACGAAATGCGATAGCTCACAGAGGCGACGTGCGGTCTCAACACACACACACACACTCGCCATGTGCAATCACGAAAGGGGAGACCACACAGGCAACGTGCGGTCACGAATTGTGTACCCCCCCACACACACACGCTACGTGTGATCACGAAAGGCGAAACCACACAGAGGTGATGTGCGGTCACGAATGACGAAATCACACATACATGCGACTTAAGGACACCATATACAAAAGCACACAGAGGTGTTAGGCAGGCGAAACTCGAAAACACCACAGGTCACGTGTGAGCACGAAATGCGGCGGCGGAGAGTCAAAGACGCATGCCACGCCCAAATAGAGGCGATGGCAGCGGGGGCGTAGCTACGCTCGTCCAGCCAGTGTACCGCGCCGGGCCTCTGCCTCCTCGTCCGGGCAACACTCAATAGTGGTGGGGTTGCTGTTCAAAAATATTCTAAGTTACCTCACAGTAAAAAAATGTAACAAATTATTCCGCACCGATATCTTATCTTTCTTTTATTTATTTACGTCAAAACAGTTAAAAACCGTGTGTGACGTGCTATGGGGAGAAGTTATTTTGAAGTTACATTTATGTACCGGAGCCCCTGAGCACTTAACTAAGCCACTGGACGGCGGTCGAGAAATGTGCCGCGCACATTTTATGATAAATTTTATGATATGTAAATTGATTATTTCTTGCCATTAAATAAAAAATAATGGTTCATAATTTGTACGTATACTTGAGTATTCAATAAAACGCTGTTTTTGCTTTACTCTGAGAGTGATGAGAGGAAAAGCATAAAGACTCAAGAATCCTGGGGCACTCCACGAAGTTGAGTAATATAGAAAAAACAAAACATAACTTTAAAAGGAACCGACAAGTTGATTGATAAGGTTGACCAGTATTAACAAATAAAACAAAGGCAAACAAGTCAATGATGATACTTAATTTATCAAACCATAAAATGTCAATAGAAGTCTATTTCTTTTGGAAAAATTGACATTATTTTACGACATGACAGCTGCTTAGTTCATCTATACAGAATTGTCGTCACAAGGGCGCGATAAATGAAAGCCTAATTGATTTGTGAACGGATCATACAATGTATTCTAAAACACTCTGCAATTTCAGGCCAATTCATGATCTTTATTCAACACAGAAGAAAACGGAGGCACTGTTAAAATCAATTCAACACGATATACAAGTAATATGAAAAGAAAGAAGAAAGTTACTACCTCACATGGTGTTGTAATAGCACCTGGACAAAAGGATGCTTCTTTGTCCTTAACGAGAGTGAATTTTGTTTCGCGACATACACATAGTACAAATGTTTCTTAAATACGAGCTATTTACATGCTCTCCTTTTGTTGCTTGATCCAAAAAATATTCTGCTCTGTCGACTGTCGAATTGTTCTGTTACTTCTTGAGTATCCCTCACACTTCTTTTAGACCGTCTGTAACTGAGTTTAACGACGGCACTGCCTGGTTGAGAATCCCAATCGCCCACTTGCTCTAGACGGACTTCCGGTGATTCCTTCGACCAATACTACACAAATACCAGGGTACATCATCCTCGAGTCCAGGATCGCACGCGGTCATTTCTTCTCAAATCTGCCCCCCCCCCCATCTTTAAGTCCTGGTGTCGGACTGGTTTTCCGTTCACATACAGTATCTCCCACGTGATCTAGAAAGACTCCGACGGCACCGTATTTACTGGGATGTAAGGGATCAGTGTAGGCTGAAAAGCCACCTCAGAGAGAGAAAAAAGATGAGAACAGAGAAAAACAGGCGATGTTAACTTAAGGGGCTATTAGAGCCACAACCTCTCAAGACTCATAGAGAATGAACTCTGCAACCTCTTGCCCTACTCGTTAATTTTACAGGCTCATTATTCTCTTGCTATCATCTTAGCCACTGTGCCACCTAAACCTTGTTTCTAGACATTAACCCCGCAGGCAGATTGCCTCATGGGTTTTCGCAACGCTCTGCAGAGGTCGCCGTAGGGCCGCGCGATACGATCTCGCCGGGGAGATCGGCGCAGCGTCGGCAGCAGCAGCAGCAGCAGGGCGCAGTAGGGTGAGGGGGGGGGGGGGAGGGGGGGGGCCGGGAGGAGCCTTGGCCAGGTGGCAGGGTCACCGCTCCGCTCGCCAGCGCCTTTGCGTCGGCCGTTGGCGCCGATCTCCGCACGTTGCCCAACATGCCATCCAGCCAGACCTCTCTCGAAACAGCTGTAGTTATCCTCGGTTTTAAAAATAGCGCGGCTGGGTGTACATCATTGCACGAAACTTTGCTTACATACAATGATGTTTCATTACTTTATTCATACTTTAATTTACTTTGTATCAATTTTTGATGGAATCACTGCATTTATTATTTCTGCACAATTCGGCTATCAATTTATCTAAATGTCATCACAATACTTTTTGAAACTAAGATTGATACAATTTTATTACAATTAATATCCTATAAAATAGTATTTTGTGTGAACATATAAGAAACATGTAAGAATTGAATTCTCTTTCTATTTACGATGACATGAAGACTAAAATTATTAGATAAGAAATGGATAGTCAAAGAAACGTTATGTACATAACTTGTATCTAAAGTGAGTTTTTAGCATACAAATTAATTGTTGACGGACAATGCGATGAAAGGAATCGAGTACAGCATCTCGAAATAAGTTTGTAAAAGATTCTTTCGTACAGATTGCATGCTTTAGTTTTAGTCCAATTCATGGAAACTTACAATCACATCGTCTTGTCATCACTCTCAATAAGCGATGCGGTGGTTATGTCGATTCATGTCGCACCAGTGTTTTAATTGCTTTATAGTTCTCAATTGTATTATATTATTATGACTTCTTTGCGGTACGCATAAGGGAAATAATAAGAGTACTTTGTAGCAGGCATGCCGCAATGTAACGCTTTTCAATCAAAAGGCGGTGAAGGTAAGAAATAGTTTCTAGGCACGAGTGTTGAAAAAATAATTTCTAATATTCTTAATGTTTTTATATTTTGGTGTATAGATTTCTGATTTTTTTACGATTGACTATTTACTTTACTTTTGACAAACAATTACGAATTTTGTGAATAATGTACAAGATGCTTCCAGAAGGAACTAAGTTGCTCTATCTGCTAAATGCTAATAGCATTTCTTCTGACTTGATATTAGAGTTCCATACACTTAATGAAACATGTCTATGTAAAAATGTGATTATTGAATTATGACTAGTTAAAAGGAGAAAGCGCTGTATGGATCTCTTGACTCCATCATTATAAGAGCAGAAACTCAAGTCTTGAAAATAATTTCGGAGAACATTCAAGGAAAGAAAGTAACCAACCAAGAAGATTCGAGACGCATTCGCCACATACTTAACTCGATAGCAAACAAAAGGCCTCTGAATCCCACGCGTTTCCTAACTGCGAGCATCGAAGCGCCGTGGCCGGTGCGTCGGCGACAGTGACGCAGCCGAGCGGATCGCCTCGCAAACTGCGGCAAAAACTGGAGCGTCCTCGGCGGCGGAGTAGGCGGTGGCGAGACAAACGACTGGCGCTTTTTGCCGGCGGCGACTCCGTTACCGCCGGCGCTCACCGCTCACCGCGTATTCTGCGACCTACGCCCTCGCGTGCACGCCGTGGGATTAGCGGCACAAAATTCCCAAGGTTACTAATGCGCTGTTTAGTAGCCTGATTTTTCATACCATTCGCCGAATTCCCCGTGTTTATTTCATCCATACCGGCAAAGGTGGCTCAGAGCGTCAACTGATGTCACTACAGTGGCTTTGACCGGGAGGTCCTAGGGTTTGATTTCAGACAGCTGCTGAATTCAAGCATCTAAATCAGGAGGAAACTTCTGGCAGCCAGCTGCTAAGATCGGTTGTTTTCCGTGGTTTCTCCGATCAACACCAGACGAATACCGGAGCAGTACCATAACAAACGGGCCGCGGACTGTCACACGCAATATTCCTTCATTCTTGCCCTTTTTTAACACCTTACGTACACTTGTACTCACTTCCAATACACATACATCAGGACGAGTTGGGAGGTGAGAGCTTGTCTCTGCTGGAGCGGTGACCCATAGTGGGAGATACCTGGTAGAGAACACCCGCCAGCGGGCGCAGGTCGGCGCCGGATTTCGCGGGGAAGATCACCGCTAGCTCCCACATCAAAAACACGCACTATGCTAACGGGAATAATGACCTCAGCAGCTGGCGCATGCGGAATCACTAATAAATCAATCTTTAAATGCATATAAGCCGTACCGGATGAGATGTACGGGTGCAACAACAGTTGCTGCTCACTAACCTCCATTTTTCGTTGTCCCCCCTCTCTCCTTACAAAGATACACACACACACACACACACACACACACAAACATATTTCACTCTTACGAGCATTACTTTATCACAGATGAGAAAGCAGTCGGGAGCTCAGAGCCTATCCCGGATGGAATGGTTGGTTGAGATACCTGTAGAGGATACGGCAGGAAACACTAAACACTAACACACACACACACACACACACACACATACACACATACACAAACACTCGAATTTTCCTCTTCCATTTCATTTATCGAATTACACGTTTCCATTTCACTGGTTGAATTCCGTTTATATTTCACGTGTCGAATTTTCTGTTTCGTCGTCAGCAGCCCGTGAGTGTTGTACATATTATAGACAGAAGGCAGAGTTTTCCCCCGCCGCTAAAACGTGATGAATGTGATGAATTCGCATTTATTTCTTTTAAATCCTTGTTTTTCATTTCTTTAGCTCAATTTCAAAATTTTAATATCAATTTAATTAATCACTTTACTGTTATTGTGTATAATCTATTATACTATTAACACTACAATGTGAATGTAGTCAACTCTAGCCAAGGAGAAGGTATCGACAATCTTTGATAATAGTCAAAGATAATGTCTTAATGAGAAAGAGCAACAATAAAAAAATAATTTTATATGGGATGAAGAAAATAAAGGAGCATTAAGAAGAGGCAAAAGAAAAAACGGAAATGATGAGAGAAACAACACGAGAAAGAGCAGAAGGAAAAGACAGAAGTAAGGGAGCGAACGGGAAAGAAAGCAGAGGATGAGCAAACAGAAAATTAAGAAATGTGCCTCCAACTGATTAAAATAAAAAAGGGGAACGAAAAGGCCGTACATTGAAAAATAATTAAACTCCAGTGTGTAGAGTTTGCCAGCGTCTGAGTCATCCAACGCGGCGGCGTGGCTGGCCCGGTACGTTAGGGCCAGGCGGCAGCCGGCCGGCCGGCGTGGTGAAGCACGCAGTGCGCGGCGCAGCGTGGCGTCTAGAGGGAGGGGGCGGGCGAGGGCGGGGCGCGGGCGCCGGGCCGTGGCGGTTGCGGCCGGAAGCGGCCTAACACACTTGGCGGCCGCGCGCCAAGGCTCCTTGGGACGGCGGCGGCGCGAGCAAGCGAGGGAGGGCGGGGCGGCGGGCGGGGGCGGTGGAGAAAGCGCGCTGCTTCCGGCGGCGGTGTTTCCGCTGGTGCGCGCGCGGGGCTGCAGCTTCCACGAAGTGTGAACCAGGCGCGATCTTCTCCTTCCAGCTCTCGATCCGAGCGAATATGTTACTGGCTGAGATGGCGCACGGAACCACTGTTGCCAATGCCGCATCGTTGACCCGGAGGTCCTAAGTTGCGAGTCCCACAGAGGTGAATTTTACACACTAGCAACAAAGCCAGGTCGAATTCAACCACTTTCTGGAGGAGACCGGCAGGCTACTATGATCGGTAGTTTTCCATGATTTCTGCGATCAATATCAGGCCAATGTTGGTGCAGTATCCTAACAGACTGACCACGCACAAGTCTTCCCTTCCTAATCCTTGTTCCATCATCTCCACTTACTCTCACTCGCACTTACAGGCAGTAGACAACCATGCAAGTCGGGAGCTGCTTGCCACAGCCTGGATTATGTCCGCTGAGGGAGATTTCTGGAGGGAGAAAAGTCGATCTGTGCTATTCATCACGTTCTAGCGGCAGAGGAAAACTCTACCTTCCGGTTATAATATGTACAACACTCACGGGCTTCTGACGACGAAAGAATAATATAATCACACCTCTATTGAAACAATTGACTTCTCGATGATCAAATTTACCCGCTTCCCACACATCGGCTGTTAATTCCAGTATGTTACAACGATAATATTTTGTTTATCAAAAAACGAATCTCGAGATTTTGTATTTTTACTTGAATGCGCAAATAAGTAAAAGTCGTGATTTTCTCTTTGGCTTGTCGGTCTGAGAACTATTGAAACGATGAATGGATTTTGATAATTGAATGAGTATATTAGTACAAACATCAGAGTGGTGAAGGCTATATAACGTGCCCTAAAATCAAATAAGTTGAAGTATTCAAGATTTTAATGCATCCAGAGATTTTGTGGGTATATCATTTCTTTTCTACTACATTTATTCAAATTAGGGCGCAATTGTAACGACGCTGAATTGTGTGAATGTTTTTTATTCCATACTCGAAAAAGCGTTTAAACAAGAACCCACAAACAAATTTATAAAAGCATGCGTGTCATTACACTAATATAACTTCAGTTTTGCTCGAGCTTTGTGTTCATTAAATGAAGGGTAAGTTTTGTTCAAATTTTGTAATCCTAAAGGAAGAAGTAGACAGGCGAAAACGAACTACGAGCAGAAGATCTTGAGAAAGACCCGCTGAGTCAGGTGGACGAGCTGCGTCACGAAGCCGGCGGAGGGGGGGGGAGGGGTAGGCACGGAGGTGGAAACGATGGCAAAGATATTATTCTCCGTTGCAAATGTATGCGATACACCTTACTCCTTCGACGTAACATTCCTTTCCCTTTCATCTCCCACTTCCGTTACCTCTTCCGTCCTTCCTTCTGTTCTGAGCAGTGGGATTGGACGTTTGGAAAAACATGAGTTATGACAAATGACTAGAGTATTAAGATGTCTCTAGGTAATTGTTCTTTTCCCTGTATTTATCCTGAACTGTATTTTACGAAATATATTATAACATGCAATACGTAACGTTATCATAATTTTATGTCTTTTAAGTTCCAATGGAGAAAAAGGTTAGAATCGGAATTTACACAGTACATATTTGAATTTCTTTTACAAAAAATACCCAATATTTCCGTGGGAAATCCTTTGTCTAGATCAGGTTGCTTTCCTTAGAGACGCCATTGAAGATGGCCCTTACTGTCGATAAACACAGATTCTCGTGTGTTTTAAAATGCCCTCTAGATTGTCTCTTGGTCTTCATTTGCTAGAAGCAACTTGTCATCGGTGACGAAATATTTTAAGTCTATGGTTGGGATCTCATAGATGTCAACATAAACGGATTTCGTTTCTCAAAAGAAAATACTCTTGTGCTTTGGGATTTTTTATTTCTAGAAAGCGAGGTTATTAAGTGTAATGTTAAGCCATTGTATACGGTAGGTCAGACTTAGCCGAAATTTCAAAGAAAATTCCACGGGAGATATAGGAAATGATTTTATTCTCTTGGAGTTGATTTATTTAGAAATAACAAAACGAGTAAAGCAATACAGTAAAGTAGGTAAAACTTTTGCAAGAGAACAACCCAGACGGACATCGGACTGGTTAGTACAAGGTACATTTTTTCATCGGGTATTTGTTAATTTGTTATTGGGTATTTGTTCATTTTTCATTGGGAGAATGGGATGTGTCTAGCAGTTACAAAATCTAATAGATCAAAGAAAATGAAATGTCTGTAATTAAACGAGAATTTCCCACTCAATCATCTTATTATTACGTCTTTGTCCCATACCAATATTCTCCATAAACAAAAGTTCATAATGGTGCGCCCATGGCTCAGTCAAAATCTTTATAACAGATTGTATTTTCTTTTTGTGCAAAAATGCCAAAAAACTAATTCTCAAACTCTCTGAGATCGCAAACTAAATCTCAGCGATTCATTAGCCGGTGCCGTCTGCGTATGCGGCAAGAGGCCCAGCGGAGAAATGGCTGGCGGATGATAGTCACCGCCCCCGCGCTATCAGTCATCGCGCTTCCGCCGCTAGCGCCAAACGTCGCTCGTTTGTCGCGATGGAGGATTAGCACGCCTCGGCATGTAGATGAGAACGTCGTGGAAGGAAGTTGTTGAGAATTGCATCTGAGCAAAACGATGCGGGAGAGACCGAATGAGCTTTTTATTCATAAATTAAATCCCTGTCATTTTACCCAAGAAGTTATTGAACAACTTTCAGCAAGTGTGTCAGTTAATTATAAAAGGTCTTATCGAATAACGGAAAATCTTTTATTAACAATCCTCACGAAAAAAAAGTGCAAACATAAATATCATGCAAGACGTGCGTGCATTAACTATGCGTGCGTTTAATTTTGCCAAATTCGCATCACTGGAAATTCATTTTCACTCTTTTCTATTCACTTTCAGAACTTACATAACTAATGATATT